TTCCATGGGTGAGATACATCACCATGGCTGGTGAGTACGAATTAAGACTCGTGTAAGGCTCATTCGGTTTTATCAATTATGATTCCCACATTCCTCGGGGAATCGCCTGAATCAATGGAAGAAAACAAAAAAGGACAACAGTAGAGAAAAAAAGAAAACTTTCTGAAACTTTTTTAGCTGATCAAATTTGCCTTCAATTTGGTTCGGTAGCCATATTCTTGTGAATTTGTCTTTATGGTGTTTTTTCTATTATATTTTACATGATGCCCTTTGTAACCTTTCACGACATGGTTCTTTTTACTCAGAGACATGTCTATGTTTTGGTCTTCTATCAAAATTATTAAACACTGAGGTGTTGGTTTACGAAAAATGTCAATATTTTACGAAAATTACATGATAAAAGCTAGTTCCTGATCTGGCGCCTCCGAAACCTCTAATCTGGTGCCTCCAGTCCAGAAGCCTCTTCCCTTTTTGCTACTGAGCACTGACCTTTGACGAGAATCTGTGTAGATCCGCTGAGCTTAAATTTTCATACTTTTCTCTATGTTGGACCAGTGATAGTTAACACGGTAGTGGTTTGCTTATCTGGTGTTTGCACCGGCGACATCATTCCAACCATCTGGAATATCCCTTCCTCCACCATCCGGCCATCCTACATGTTATCGTTGACAACTTGATCCCTCGTTACGGCTCAGAAGAGCAGTAATAGGTAGGGATGACATTCTCTCCCTTGGAGATCAAATCTACCTCAATATGAGGACATTATCACAAGCTTAGAGCTTAGCTCTTACCCAATGGAGGACTATATTGCTTGGTTACCTGTCGAATCAGGGGTTTATTTATCAAAATCCGGCTATGCCTTGGCCAAAATTAACAACACATAGGTATCAATGCAGGATTTTGATTGGAAAAGATCAAGACTTCCCCAAAACTGAGAACCTTCATCTGGAAGTTGAAAAACAAGGCTGTAGCAGTGGGCAGGAACCTCACGATCCGAGGGATAACAAGGCTGTAGCAGTGGGCAGGAACCTCACGGTCCGAGGGATAACAGATGCGAGACGATCCGATGAAGATGAATTACACATTACTCTGTTTTGTCCTTTTGCAGCCAAAGTTTGGGAATTAGCTCCGCTTTGTTCAAGCCAGAGGGGAATGTATTGATCACAATGAACCAATTCTTGGAGGCGGCACGTGGGCACATAAATCTTCCTCCGACTGGGCTCGCCGCTACTCCTCTGTTCCCATGGCTTCTATGGAACCTATGGAAGGCTCGGAACCAATTAATCGTTGAAGATAGACGTACCTCAGCGGAAGTTGTGGTGTTGAGAGCAATCACGGAGGCTAGAGCCTGGCAAGATGCGCAGGAAACTGGGGAGAGATTGAGGCCAACACAAATTGCCCCTCGACCTCCGGTTTTATCCCCACATGCGATCCAGTGTTTTACCGATGCTTCTTGGCTAGCGGAAACACGTGAAGGTGGTCTTGGATGGTGTTTCAAGGATTCAAATATGAGAATAATAGCCCAATCATCGACATCCAGGAAGAATGTGGCTTCGACGCTTATTGCAGAAGCATTTGCTTTGAAAGCTGCCTTAATTGCAGCTAAGTTAGCGGGTTTCCAAGTCATGAACTGTTTCTTGGATTCCCTCTCGTTGGTTACACTCATCAATACGGATAGCGTGACCAATGAGTCAAAATCCGTCCTACACGACATCCGTTGTCTTAAGAACGATTTCACTTCTATCTCTTTTGTTTTTATCCCTGTGTCGGAAAATATTTTAGCCGACGCGTTAGCAAAATTTGGTATTGTATCTTTGAACCAATCCTCCTAGTTTGGAGTTTAAGATGATAATACTAATCGGTTTGATAAAAAAAAAGAGACACTTTCTACTGTCAGTGGGTCACCCACTCAATGTTACATGGCCCAACAATGTTCTAACCTGCTGATTAATGAACGTTAGCTACGCCTCTAGAATTGAGAGAAACCATTAGCGTTGAACCATTTCTTTCATCATGCAGAGAGATCATTTCCATCAATTTTCTCCAATTTGGAAAAATCATTCCACTTTTTAGAAAAAAAAAACATTTCCACCTTCATCCCTTGCGAAAAGTACTTTTCTATCACATTCTTTTTCAATGAAAGGTAATCTTATCTCGGATTCAAAGTCGGAAACCTCTTCAACTTACTTATTGTTTTGTTATTTTGTGTAACTATTTTTACGGAGTTAAAAGATGCAATATGATTTGGTTCACTAAAATCTGGAAGTCAGGGTTACTTTTCAACGTCACAACAGAAAGTGACCAAATCTCAATATTTCGGCTACACGCATTCGAGCTTTCTCTCCAACTCGGAGTCAACATATCCTAAAAGTGTATCAGCTTTATTTCCACTTGCTTTATCTCGTTTTGTGGTAATCAAAAGCAGATTTTTTTTCCCACTATTTATATCGGAAAAGTTTAACATTTAATAAAATTAAGATTTGTGCC